AAAGTATAATATGCATAATGACAAGACATCAAACTACTGTCATATTTTTTAATTATAATACAAATCTCCTCAGACCACCATTTCTAACATCATCATACTCTGTCTTGTGACTCTCAGTTTAGCGAGGTTTGCGGTGTTGCCACAGTATTTCACCATCTTTGCACACCCTATCTCCAAGGCTAAAATACAGCCAGGCACAGTCAGCCATAGTCAGTATTCAGTCTTCATGTGAAATGTAAAGGGCTGCAGTGGCTCACTTTCAATAAGCTACGTCACAGACCCATAGTACTCACATGACATTGACAGGCGGAACGAGAAGTAGTGCCTATAACCGGGTATAATTAGACCATCCTGGTGAAAGCAAGTTATTTATTCTAAACTCACACTCACTCCAAATTACTGAGTTTACATAGTGAACCTTTTATAAGAGGATCAATCCTAGAGCAGGAAACGTTTGGATCAGAAATATCGATACTTTATTATCGACCCGCACATCACTATAACTTATTAACAATTGGTCCAATCATCCTGCACACTGGTCGGCTAACCTCCTTACGGTTTTAAATTAAACTGGAGTTGGAAGGAGATGAATTCAGACATACTAACCATTTATATTCTTCATCCTTCATTCATTTATTGCCTAAAATATTTTTGAATTTGTTAACAGTGGTAATGAATGAGATACTTACTGACTGCAGTAAGAAGACAAACTTTGTTTAAATACCTACCATTTATTCCACTTGTTAATTAAAAAGACAGAGAGGGGATCTCTGAGAAGGAGGAATGAGACAGCAAAAGAGGAGACAGGGTAGATGGTGTGACAGATTGAGTTTGGGTGAGACAGGAACAAAGATGCTGATGATAAAAAGAGAGAGACAGAGAGAGATGGAGATGATGCAGGCAGGCAGGATATTACATAACTGTCTGTCAGACCAGGAGAGAAGAAGGGAGGAAAGGAGGGAGCAGAAGAAGGAGTGATGGAAGGATAAATGGAGGAGAGGACAGGCAGTGACGCAGTCTGAGAAGGAAGAGAAACCACCCCTGACTCCTCCTCTGTGTGAACCTGATCAAGATGACAGAATTACAGCCAGATTCATTTCAGAAGCGTGTGTGTGTGTAGATCAAACCCAGCTGAGCTTGCGTTGCAGTATGAAGTTCCACAAAAAGCAACATGAAAAGACAGTTTCCCACATGCCAACTACAACTTTGGTAATTAGGTTCAAATGAGTCTTACCAGTGACACAATTTCTCTTGACTGTTCCTCTATATTTAAAACTCCAATACTGCTCCAGCACGTGTACTATAGACTCTATTCACTATATTTCCCACGACAACAAAGGTGACAGCATCATGTTCATTTGTCATCCTACTTCTGAGAGGGATCTAAGCTAGCTGCTAGCCAAAATGTTTGACAATTAGACAATTACAGCAACAATATTGCAGGCATAATGTGAAGAGGTCCAACTGTTGAGGCGCAATTTACAATTTGCACCCTCCTCCTAAAGATAAGGAACACTTGAGGGTATGGCTGAAGGAGCTAAACCTGAAGTGCTCACCCAAGTGCCCATATCTGTGTTCCTATTTACGATGCCCCGGTAAAGAAGTCATGTCAGGTGCTGAACAGGTTCTCAGATTCATTAATAAATGTATTAATTAGAAACAAGCTGTTAACAAAATACAAAGAATTTTGCATGATTACCATTGCCACCCCCTATATTTCATATTTAAGATGGTGCAAGATATTATGAGCTCCTCCATTTAATAGCTCACATTATTCCTGTAGGTAATATATATTGCAGCTGCTAGTAGGCTAGCTAGCTGCAACTCATTCAGATATTGATACTGACCTTCACTAGAGTGAATCCTGATGACCCTGATGAAGCTGCGTCTGAATTTATTGCATGGTGACCTTGCTAAAAGGTTTGGTCTTTCTCACTCCATAAGGTGATTTCACGCTTCCCCCGCTTCATGAAGAAGTCACCCCAGGGGAACATCTCTGTGTTACCGGAGTCTGCGTTAGACTTTATTCCACAGAGATTTATTATAAGTTCTTCAAAGGAGACCTGATAAAGTCACATCTTTAGTAAATTGAAATAACAATCAATGCATTATGCAAGAAGTGTTCAAGTATTCATCTAAATAGATGGAGGAAATGTTGTTTTATAATTTGCTACTTTGCTACTAATCATACTTATAATAAATTATTACTTTGTGAACTCTTTGCGATACAGATCAGAAGCGTTAAAGTGCTGCACAAACTTGCGTCAGTCACCGGAGTTTGATTTCCCCACGTTGGTCGATGGTGATGATGCAGGATCAATCGCCAAAGCTGTCCAATCAACAAGTTACCTGTACGTCTGTGTAACGTCATGGTTACTTCTCTGGTCCGTTTGTAAAACTGCAGTGTGAACATGAACTGGAACCAGAACTAAAATGCAACAGCGCATCATTTTTTTCACTTGATCCGGACAAAATTAACCGAACTACAGGTGTGAAAGCACCCTAAGACTCACAGCCCCTCTATAGTGCGGGCCCCAGTGTGGCTACACTGTCTGCACTGTCCATACCTACACCCTTGAAGCCATACATTGTATATAAATATGGACATAACAAGATTGGAGCCAGGGCCTTCCAAAGAATAAACATTTAGAGTGGGTCAATCCAATAAAAAACTGAGAAAGTTGTATTTAGATAAGGCTGGAACACGAGAAAATACAACAGATCAGGGAGAGACAAATCCCGGCTGAGAGAATCAGAAGAGTTCTTAAGGTGAATGTTGACATCACGACTTATTTTTTCACACATTTTTGACTCCACTGAAGATTGGAATTAGGGTTAGTTATTACTGTAGGGATTGATTTTTACGATTAAAAAAAATCAAATTCCAAGCTGGAGAAGATGAATGAAAAGATGACTGGTCTGTATATGTGAACAAGTAGTCATTTGTCATTTTGATGTGTATTTTTGTTTACACTGCTTTTGTGCTTGTGTACTGAGGACAGTATGTGATATTTAAGAGATTACAAACAAACCCAACAAATCAAATGGAAGCCATAATCTCAGATAATCCAACTGCTGGTCAGTCATCTGACTAGCTAGCTTCATCAGCCTGCAACTCGGACAGTCATACAGTCAGTCAACTAACCACTTACACTGACATTCAGTTTGCTCAAGTCAAGCATTGTTTTGTGTGGTCCACAAGTGTTCTTCATTTTCAAATAGTTCGGACTTTCTGGTGTGCTGGAGATTCCTAAGGCCTCTTTTATTTTACAGTAGTTTTGCCAAAGAGCTTTAGTGGATTCAGCTTGGCAGCTCAACCAAGTGTTTGATTGTGACTTTTATGTTGAGTCTATATAGGTATAGAGAATAGGCAGCACAAGGTATATATAATGAATTAATGGGTTTCTTTACTTCAAGTGCACCTGCAAGCCATTGCACCACCCTAACATGTAGCTGGCAAATGATTGGCCTCTATAATTAGATAAGTCCAGCCCAAAACTATCCACCATGGCGACCACACAATCTGCCAAACTGTATTGCTCTGAATTGGCTCAAAAGCCAGAAACTGTTCCACAGTCTTACCTTGCTTGCTAACACATCTAGAGATAAATGTTAACTGATCAGCATGAGGTAGGTCAGGAGTTGAATCTACACTGTCGGAGAAATATTTCGCATCACAAAGCTCTTCTCCAGTTGGGCTTATTGCCAGTTTTTTCTCCCACTAACTCAATGAACTCTTCACAGTTTAATGTCAACAAAATCCCCAAACACTTTCAGTTTTTTAATGATTATTTCCTCTAAATGCCAGTCCTGTTTCTCCTAAAACCTTGATAACTGCCACAACACAGTCATATAACATCCCTCCAATATTGCCTCACATATAAGGTTTGCTTTATGGCTGAGTCAGTTGCCCCAGACTAGCTCAACCTCTGTATCAGTGTTAGCATGTTGAACATACTGTCTGAGCTACTCTTGTGTTCAGAAATATTGTGCAGATGTTTCCAGAGACAAAAACGCTTGCACACAGTCTCTTGCCAATGCAGGGTAGTTAGCTTCTCTGTTGCTGACACAAAGAGACCCCTTTTTAAATGAGAATTGTTTTTATTTTGTCAGTGGATATATTTCGCACAGGATCCATGAGGGTCTCACACTAAAGTAGTCTTTGTCTCTTTGTACCTCGGATGTACTGCATTCAGGTCAGGTATATTTTCAACTGCTGGTGTTCAATCCAGTGTTTATTGTTTTTCCAAACTAATAATTGTCTCGTGTGGTCTGTTAAACAGTACATGTATCCAGTTCAGTGCCTCACATTGCTATTTTCATCAAAATTATTGACTATACATAGTTGTGTTTTTGTACAGCCGCTGTAGACTATGCACATGCGCATTGCAAATGTAGTTTGGCAGTTTGGTACTCTTGTGTGAACTTGGGCCAGCAGTGCATGGAGGCATGAGCGTCCAGGTCGTCTACAGGAGGCAGTGCTCTAGCACCGCTGCTAACAGTAATACTGTCACCTTCCACTTGTTTTTTGGTGAATAATTTCTAAATAGTAATAATGTAATAGTAATAGAAATAGTTAGAAATAGTTTTGACCATGCTATTGACATTTGAGCTACATATATTGCATGATTTAAATAGCTAATTTACTTCAATTAACATAAATGTGCTAAAAATTTAATTTTTGCTATTTTTAAAATATTGTAATATTGATTTTTCTTGTGGTGTTAGTATGTAGTGATGTCATTTGGGTTTCAAAAAACATTAGTTTTTATATGTTTTTCTCTGTCTTGGTCTTACCTTGGGTCCATATTGGAATTACATATTTTAGTCCTTGGATTTATTGCAGTCTCACAACTCCATCAAAAAATCGAGTCAAAGTATCTGTATTTACGGCAACAAGTGAAGGCCGCAGAAGCCCTGCTGCCTTCAGATTCAGGGGGAAAAGGCTTTTCTTGCTGCCTCCTGATTGGCTGCGCCTGTTGAGAAGGGGGCGAGGCTTGTGTGTGAGCGCTCGCTGGCACCAGTCTGCTCTGCAAGCAGCGAAAGGTGGAGAGATTTTCACCATCACACACTGTGACTGTTACACATATACACACACGCACACACACTCACACATATACACAGTCAGCGAAAGAAACGGGACGCATAGAAACGGTGAGTAGAGGGAGTGTTTCTCAATTTATATCTGATTTACGATGTGTCATCGTCGTTGTTTATCCTAGCGCTGCGTCATCCTCTCGCGCGTTGCTGAAAGATGAAATTAATGAAATATTTATGACAGTTATCTGTATTTAGGTCTCGCGCTGCAGTGGCATGGACATGGGCCTATTTTTAGCTAGTTATATGGCGGACTGGCAATTTGACAATGCTGTGCACGGTGTTTCCCATCACAATGGCAGAGGAGAGTGGGCGTGTGATGGGGGGGATCTCTGTCTCTCTCGCAGAGGTCTGTGGATTCGTGTCTCTTTGTTATGGTGGTGCCGCAGTCGGGATGGTACACCCTCCTGCTGAAAAATCACTAGGCTGTAGTATTCCTATAATGTTCCTGCATTCTCACTCATGCTACTCAGTAATCATTAAAGACTGTATAGTGTGTCGTTGCATCTAATGGTATTTCAGACTCTTACCTGTAACCTTTATAATATTCCTATATGGGACTACAGTAACCAATATCCTGCTATTTTTAGTGCTATTTGTCTACTTGTTTTCTACAGGAGTTTTTATTCTCAAAGGCAGTCATCTGCAGTTACAGCACCTAAACAGTTCCCAGTTTTTAGTAAGAGTCTGATGGTCTATAGGGACTAAGCCTGGCTGTTATACAATAATACCCATCCACACATACACACTCTATACACAGCTACATACACACACAAACACACACACTGCATCCTCTGTCTCTGTGTGGATTAGTACACATTGTTCTATCTATGCGCATGTCTTTCTCTTCAGGCTGTTTCCGTTTTCGGTCTTCAGTCTATTTGACATATGAAATTGAACGTGGGATGTTTGAGGATCATAAATGCCTTGTAAACTCATGAATAAATGGACTAGCCGCAGCACAGACACGCTGTTAGGAATACTATCAGAGTAGGAACATCTTAATTCTCCCCTTCAATTTCCCTTAAAGTAGAAGTGGCTCTATAATTTGAGTAAACATCATAGTTTCAGTTCTGCATCTGCTTTTTGCATCACTTTAACAAAGTTACATGATGTTCAAAGCCAAGACATATTCTGTACAGTAATTCAGCATGACATGTTTCTTTAGAAAGTTTTCTAGAAAATAATTTGGGATAATTGTCTGTTGGTAGTCAGTGCTTAGTGTTGACGGACCTGATGTTCCTGCACGGTTGAAGAGGTTGGTCATTTTTCTGAATGTCTTTGTGTGTTTGTGGTTGTTGGGCACTTTCTGCCATTCCAGCTCTGCCTACCTGTCACCTTGTTACAGTCTGTCTCTCACTCTGTCACTCATATGTCACACTGTATTTAATCAAAAGAGCCTTTTGAGATTTGATTATTTATTTTGTGACATAACTACTTGGAATAGACCAGGAATAAACCGTGTTAGATGGTTGGAAATTAAAATTTAGCACGTCATATCTGGTGATAGATTAATATAATTTTAGCCATTTTCTATTTAAAAACTCACTCAATAGCAAGTTATTCTTTAATATAATATATATATTATTATATCTAATGCTATATGTTCTTATTTTTGGGAGTGATGAAGTAGGTAGTAGAACAGGTTGACTACTTGAGTGAACTCACTATCGCTTCCATTTATATTTATTTATTGGGGAAAATTGTATGCCATTTTTGACAAAATTAAGGCTATGACTGACTATTAATTTCATAATGGATTTATAATCAAATAATAATTTTGTCTGTAAAGGCCAGGAAATAGAAAACAATGCCCTTCATCTTCAAACTTGCTTATTATTTCCAGCAGACACTCCAAAAAATCCATGAATATTCAACACACCATAATATAACTGAGAGAAGAGAAGTCAGCAAATCCTCACATCTGAGAAACTTGAACCAGAGAATATTTTGCCATTTTCTTGTAGAATGATAGTCGATTATCAAAGTAGTACAAAAAGTCAACAAGTCCCCACCTGGCTTGGAACAAGGGATGTCACAGTATCTTAAAAGATTTTTCGGCAGATACCCCCGAAAGCATCAATATTCTGAGCCCCAAATACAAATTTTCCAACTAATTCAGTTTGCGTTCACTCAGGAAAAACTAAAACGGTCCAGAAATTGTAAACAATTGTTAACCATGTGGTTAACAGTTAGCAGTTTTTTTTTTTTACTTTCACACAATACTGCTCAACAGATCGCTGCAATCAATTCTCTTTCATTTTATCACTGAATAGTTTTAACATATCAGGGTTATTATGCACCTTCTCTAATAACTGAGAAGTTTTCTCTTTAGCCCAAATATTTAGGAGGCATCTCACCAACATTTTGGTAGCAAACGCGCTTCTAGTTCACCAGCCACCAAAACATTTTTCTTAACCAATGAAATTACACATACAATAGTATGCTTCCTATTACTGGTTCAGAAATTAACCACTCCAGAGTTCACTTGACCACCCCTTTGAAGTGGACCAGAGAGCAGTTGTTTGGAAACCTTGCAACCTATGCAACAAAAGTCCATACGGCCATTAGAGCAGAGATGTCCCACAGACTCCAGATTTGGAAAAGCACAATATGTAAGATAACCCTCTGTAAGAAAGTAGAGTTGTTCAAGACGTTATGTACTGAAACTTTATACTATACCTTTGGCCTTGGAGAAAATGTTTTCAAGGGATTCACAACAGTGGAGATAATGAATGCATGTTAATGGTAGATATCAGACCCATTTTCATTGCTGGTGAATGGACACAAAGCCATATACATTAAAAGTATGGGGATGTTTTTTATTTTTTAGGTATGTGAAACAAAATAGTTTAATGCTTTTTGGTATTGAAAGGCCAGATTTGTTTCTAAATCATCTGTGAAACCATATATTAATCACCCTATAATGAAGAGTGCCCAATTTCTATTTACTACTTTCTGTGTTAACCGTACCCCTCTGGAAAGACAGACAGTCAAAAATAGAAACAATAATTAGTAATCGAAAGACAGATGGAAAGAAAGAAAGAAAAAAGAGAGGAAGATAAGTAAGAGACTGATGTAGTAATAAATGGATGGAGAAACACTTGGGAACAAACAATTTACAAAAATTGGCAGGTTCTAATAGGAAGATGGACTTAAAATGTGTGCAAAAGTAGAAAAGGGTTAATTTCTTTTATTGCCAAAATAATAAGATTTGTAAAGGGAAAAAATATTTTAGAATACTATTAGAATACGTAAGAAAGAATAAAAGAAAATGCTAGTCGGGCTAGATTGTGTTTATCATAATGTTAACCATGCTAGAAATAAGTATTTTCAATGACATCCTATACATGGTTAAGCTTGTGTGTTCAGACTGATCGTGATGCACATCAAGTCAATCTCTAGATCTAACTAGATGTGAATGGAAGCAAAATTTTACCTGGGTGGAGTTCTTGGTAAGTTTTGAGATCAGCTCACAAGTAGAGGCTGGTTTTAGGAAATTGAATGCAATTTCTGCGGTCCTGTTTGCAGTGAAATACACATTTTAAGGAACTGGAAGGCAGAATATAAGGTGAATGAGCAAAGGCCTTACAGGTGAACACCTCAGATCTTGAGTGTATGGCAGGATAACAGCCTGCATGGTTTGGCAATGCAGCTCCTTTGGTATCTTTGAATGTTTAAACCATAGATAGCATGATTAAAAAGATAAAACCGATGATGCCAAAGAGTACATGCAGGAAGCCAGATGGATTATCAGAGATGTTCTAATGCATGGCTGTTGTGATGATGATGCCATAAATTCTGTTTTAGGGATTGGTGGAATTACATACAATCCCTACACGATTACCAGCCATGCAGGCAGGAAATCAGAATAGTGGTGATCTAAACATTTTTAGTCCATTTGCCAGGCAGTCGGCCACTCAGAGTTACTTATTTCCCCAGTGAAACAGACAGTAAACCAGCCATCCAGCAGACTGACCCTTCACTGTGGAAGTTATTTTAAAACTCTCAGCTTACTTTTATAGGCAACATATAGGCTCTCCAGTTATTCAGTAAATCATCAAGTCAGCCAGGTAGAGGAAGTACAGTAGTTGTGATCTAATAGTGGTGTATTGACCCAGGTAATCTTTAAGTCCTTCTAGATTCTGAAACTTAAAGTTATACAGACTGACAGGTAACTCGTTTATTTCGGTTGTTTTAAGCCCTTCAACTATCGACCTATGTTGTCATTTTCTGGGTGAGGACAGACTGACAGAACTGTAGAATGTTGTAGAAACTTGTTGCTCTGTCCAAAGCCCTCAAAATGTCTCTAAAGTCGTCAGTCCACGATGCAGATGAACAAGAAAAACTTGAGAATCCAATAATTCTTTGGATGGTTGGACGTGGTTATTGTCTGTCACTCGATCTCTTAAAATCCACTGAAGAAAATTCTGAAGTGATCTCTGGTTCTTTGCTGTTCAAAATCTTATTCTAGGCTTTCCGTCATGTGCTGTGATGATCCAGTACTGAGCTTGATGCCTTCAGATCTGTAACCACGATCTGCCTTCTGCTTATCCTATATATTCTTTCTTCATGTTGTCTTTGGGTGTAATTGTGAGTGTGTGTTGGTGGATGTGCTGGATTGTGTGTTGGGGTCAGGATATGTCCATGTTTGATCCTTCCACTTCTCCTTTTTCGTCCGTCTCTCTGCTGCTGACTCATAGTCATGATGTCTACACCCGTTAATTATTTTACCATGAAATGATCATTTTAAATTATTCATGTTCAATATCAATTAGATATCCTATATTTCAACCATCACATCATGTTTTAATACCAAATCATCTTTCTTTTAATCATTACTCATTTCATTGCTTAGAGCATTGTTAAGCTCTGTATTAAAGCAGGTTTAACTGCCATTTTTGATGAACGTTCTTTCTCAAACAGAGAATGGGGGTGTGGTTAATAGTCGGACGTAATACATTACCATGACAACCAAAAACTGACCGGCTGGAGTGTTCACTAACGATATGCTTTGTTAACATCACTACACTGTAAAGTTTAGTACACTTTACTGT